TGGTGCTGGAGATGGAACTCAGGGCTTTGTGCATGTGAGGCAAGCACTTCACTAACTGAGCTATATCCCCAGCCCTAATCTAAACTACTTTAAAACACTAAGCCAGGTTCCAAGAAAAAGAGAGATACTCTTGTCCTTTGTCATATAAAAAAATAATAACAACATTATAGTCACTAACATTTGAGTGCTTCCTATGTGTCAGGTACTGTGTGGAGTTCTTTACATGCAGTAATACATTTAATTTGTTTAACAATCCTATAAAGTAAGCATTATGATTAAATTCATCCTGTAGATATGAAAACTGGAGCTTGGGGTGATTAAATAACTTGCCAAAGTCTCACAAATAATGGCATAGTCAGGATCAGAACCAGAAAATTTTACTCAAGAACCCACTCCTAATTTTACCATCTCTTCTGCTATCACACATAAGTATTTCTTTGGAAGAACTATAACAAAACAGAAGAGATGCTTAATTCTCAAAGGAAAAGGATAATCAAGACCCTAAGTAGTTAGAAATTGCTTTAACCATTTCCATATCACTCATATAACTGGGTCAACACTAAGATTCCATCACTTTTCTAGTGTATCACTTATCTCCATTTTATAAATTACATCTAGAGAAAAGACTCCACTTAGTAAGTTTCTTTTCACCTCAATTTGTTTCTAATTTTGGCTAACTGGCCCTGCTAAGAAGCATTTCCAGTAAACACAAAGCCCCACCATATTTTCACTATTAAGGAGGAAAGTTTCCTTGATTTTGTCTATTACCCCTAAGATAAAAGCAAGTAAGAGATACAAATGGAAATTTCATAATGAGAACCAGTTTCAGAGGGTTTCAAAGGAGCATCCCTTCTTGGGGAAAGACACAAATAGAACATCATTATGCTGAAGTACCACTTTGAGCTTGCTTTCTTTTTCATTCAATTCAGTGCTAGAAGTACTTCAGCAAGTTCCAGTCAGAGAAGGACACACTACTGATGAAACCTAGCCTTTATTTGGAGTGCTTGCCTCACACGCACAAAGCCCTGGGTTCCATCTCCAGCACCACACACACACAAAAGTAGTTTATAGTAATTGGGCACCCAGCATAGATTGATAGTTACAATAAAAGTACAGACCCTGAGGTCACTCCCTTCACAAATCTCACCACAAAGCTACATCCGCTTGGCAAGTGGGGAGGCAGTCTTTTTCCTTGTTCTTTACTTTGCTATATCCTAAACTGGGTAGTTTGAATTCTAAATTAAATCTCCTGTATTTTCTTTTGAGCTCAAAAGTGAGGAAAGGACAAGCAACAGAAAAAGGAGGTGAGGATACACTTCCCTAGTCACTAAGACTAGTATCAGAGATTTTCCCAGGAGCTTTCCCTTTTTAATCAGATTTTGGGGGCCTCTCCTAGAGATCCAGGCAGAGCATCTGCTCCAAATTCATCAGGGGCTGGGGTAGGGGAGGGCTAACACTGCTTTCCCCACCTACCGCAAACAGCCTGCCTTTCCCTCCCCAACTAAGCACCCCTCTTACAGCCTCTTTCCTCCTTGCCCTGCAGGGAAAGTGCACAAGAGGCCCAGTAAATCAACACAGTTCTAATGATCTTTCTCACTTGACCCTTCTAGCGTGACGGAGTCACATGGAAACAAACGTACAATAAACTTCACTCCATCTTTAGCTCCTTCCTGACAGGTTTTGATTCATGGGATGGTGAGACCCATCTGAGGGAAATTACCTCAATCAAAACGCATCTCTCTCTGCATTCATCAGGCCAATGTTCCCCCAGGCCATGCTCAAGTGCACAAATGGGGTTATACATCTGCAGACAGTACTGACCTCTCTAATTCGGTGTCATATACATTTGCAAACCTTTTCCCTTCATCACTTTCTCAATTCCAAATCTTTCACTTCTCCAAATCCTCAACTACTAAAAATCTCTTTTTTCTTCCTGTGTATGACCTTGGGCAGGAGGAAAAGTGCTTGAATCCAAAGTGCTTTATTTCCTATCAAGTGCACACTCCTTAAAACATACAACTTGCATCTAAAATCAGAGGAGAAACCTGTTCTCACTGACCAAACACAGGCACTGGATGTTCAGATTAATCTATATACTTCACTCCCTGCTCCACTCTCTCCCTCCTCAAGAGTTAAAACACCAAGGCAACTGACAGATAATAATTTCAGCACACACAAGCCTCATGGCATCCAACAACTGCCTTATTTGCTTTTCCTTTTTAAAATCTCACTTATAAAATGAGGAAGAATTCTGCAAAAAAAAAAAAAGAGGGAGCACCCATAAGAACAGAAGGCATGATCTATATTTAATAAAACCAAATACTCCCATGAAACACTATTACTAAAAAAGAAACAAAAAAGAAACATTATTACTGTATGCATGTATTTATTTATTTATTTGAGTGGTGGGGATTGAACCCAGGGAGGTTCTACCACTGAGC